GTATTATGATTTAAATATTATTTTTAATTGATAAATTTATTTATTGTAAATAAACGTTTAGTTAACACAATTTAAATATTTATTAAAATTTAGTAAATTTTTTTAGCATATTAGCACAGTCAAAGTGTTAAATTTGTTGATTAATACATACATTGATTATAGCAAACTATAAGTGTATACGTTACTCACAATCAGTCAACACTTTGACTGTGACATATATACACCATTATAAAAATCATTACTTCATTATCATTAATTATATATTCGAAACCAATTCAGTATAACATAGAAGAATAAAAAATTACTGCTCGTAATATCGTACTGCGGAAGATTATGTGTAAAAACTAATTTGCTGAAAACTTTGATAGCTTGAGAAGCTTGAATTCAAGTTTATTGCAACTTTAAGAACTTACGGCATACACATCAATCAACGTAAGACGTGGGTATCCAGCGTGAACTTCGATAAGTACGCTGACACGCGTTCCTCGGAATCGTCGCTATCAGTCGACGATAGGTGTGACCTAATGTTTCCGATCCGTCACCTAAATCACCGGAGATTCGGTCGTGAACGGAAGCGCGATCCGATCTCACAATCTGTACAGAGAAGCACGCGCGGGTTAAGCGTTATAATAAATTCTCGAGTGGTCGTCGAATATTCGTATCGCGATTTAAGTGGCGAATTAGGGTCGTAGCTTGGACGATCTAGGACAATCGGTAACAACGCCGCGCTCGTCTGCTGATCGTTAGGGCCGGTATGCTCTTGCGAGGATCATGTTGTTGCCATGACATACACGTAACAATTAGGACAACTCTCTGGAGAGAAGTAGATCGCTCGTCCTAGCCTCATTTACCACTATGATTTTGGAAACTATCAATATATAACATCATATAGTGCGCAATAAAATCTACTTTGGAGCAAATGTAGACTCTGCACGTAGGAGTTTACTTTCAGGAGGCCCGTAAATAAAAGTGGAGACAGATGAGATCGATAGACCACCAACAATAAGACTGTGTAATGGTTCTTTTCCAAGCAAAACAACAAATCATAATAACGTAAAAATAACGTTAAAAGAATGATGATCATGACTGATCGAAAAATGATTTTTAGTAGTCATTTTGGAGTTATTCGGACGCCATTTTGATGTCATGATGATTTTTTGCTCCACTTGGGTTTCCATTTTAATTTTAAATTATGATTGATGGAAGCGAGTGTTTTAATTCATCTCAACGACTCACAAAAGAACTTTCAAGAAGTAACTTTATAATGCTGAATTGTCATTATATTTTCTTGTTAAATTAAAAATATTTAAAAAATTCATTATAACTTTGATAGTTTTTGTGTCATGGATTATCTCTTAATTTATGCAAATTCGATCGTCAACCATATTAAACTTCCGTCCGTCAAACAATTTTTAAAGAGCCTTAAAACATCTATCCACACGCTGTGATGCGAAAATGTTAAAACTTTTATTTACACGATTAAAAAATTGACTTCATTACGGAACGTAATTAAAAGATGATAATATATAGAACATCGAAAGAGGGAAAAGACAGAATGTGCGTTAAAGTCTTGCTTGTTCGCGACATATACATAGTGTCCCAGATAGTGTCTATCGGGTAGTATTTTGAAGACTTCCCATTTGTTTAGGAAGAAACTTCTTTTTAAAATAATTATCAAAATATCAATTTTTTAAAAATAAGCTACAAGCGTTTGAGAATACATTTACTTTTTACGAATTAAACATAATTAAATGAAATTTAATCCACTTAATTTAATTTAGAAAATATTTCCTAATTCAATGTTTTAATTCTGAATCAACTTTTAACATTTTAAACTCATTTTATATTTTCCTACTTTTTCTCTTTAAAATATTTAAATATTTTCAAAATTTACGTAAAGTTTCAATGTTTTTTTTTCGAATTTATTCCTAAAATTCGATGTTTCAAACAAATATAAAGATAACATACACAATCAGGTAACTTCTCTTGCATTTTTCTTTCTTGCGCATTATTGCTAAACGCAATAAATGTATTTTCTGATAAAAATGCGGGAGTCGTTTCTCGCGAAATTATATCTCGTCTCGAGAAATTGACATCAGTGTGTCAATGAGTTTCGATCGCTGCTAAAACATCACACGGTGGCTTCGGGACATCCCGTAGAAGAAGCAAGGCGGGACAGGCAGAAGCGTAAACAAGGAGAATGCATCGCGGGGGTGGCACGACGGGGTACGAGGGCGAGGGGTTGTACCCGTCGCTCATGCGCGCCTGGAACCCCGCCCTGTCGTTTCGGACCACGGCCTGTCCTGTCGAGGACTCCTCGCCGAGGTGTTCGAATAGTCACGCTTTAACCCGCGATCCGCGAGGCGGACGGCATTCGCCAGGAACGCCGCTGGTGCTCGTACGCGTGAGGAGGAGAAGGAAGCCCCGCGAACATCTGTCCTGGTCCCCCGGTCGCGCCTTCATTGCGACACCGTTCTTCTTTTAAGATCGTAGGATCTATAGGATCATCGTGATCCAGTCGTGGCGACCGGTGTGCGTGTATGTGTGCGTGTTCCATGTATTCAGGAAGGATCGACAGCGGCGAATCAATTATTGGTACCACGACGAGGAGTAGCGCGTGCGACGGGAATTTCGGGATCGCGACACAACCGATGTCGATGTCAAGAATTCGGCAACCAGTTGCGGATGTGAGCTGGTGTTAAGGCAAACCCGTTTAGTGTTACCGCGAATGATACTTCGTCGCAGGAGCCAGGTGGGACGACAGGTAGATCGCGTCAAGGATTCACCGGCGGAGGTTCGCACGAATTTTGAATCTCCAAGAGTGCGCCAAGTATTTTATTCTTCTGGTAGAGACAGATATCTCAGTGGATCGATTTGGAGCGCGTGGCAAATCGTCAAGTGTCTCGACCGCTGTTGATTGCGAATGCCTGACGATAGTAATTGCGCAACGGCCAACATCTCGGATGAAAAGCGCCTTCTTTAGCGAAGAAAATGTTGACAATTGTGGCTTCCTTTAGCATTATTTACGGTCAGTCTTAAAGCTGGTGAATCATTAGGTAGAGGATAGAAATAATCGTGTCACGTCGATCTGCTTGTCAGTAAGTTTAACATACGCGATATCGAATTCCTTTGACTCGATATCCGTCGTTCAAATATCACAATGTGCGCCTTACCGATATATAAAAAAAAATTAATAAACGAAAACGAACGACAGGCCTAACTTGGGATCAACAGATTAACAATTTTGAAAATAGCACGCGACTTTTCTAACGCGTGTGAGGATCACCAGCCTTCTCGACGATTTTTCATATATGTGCGCGGGGCTGCTACGCGCGCGCATTATCGAAATGCACGATTTCCTGCAAAACGGCAGCAGCTGAAAGGTCGTGATCGATCGACTCAATTTGATAACCCAAAGGAACCTTAAAGTGTACAAGGTCGTTATGTATAGTGATAAAGCAGGGACTTTCCACGGCTGAAAAGTCAAGGGGGTGAATTAAGGAGAGGTATTGTAGTACGTGGCCTATCTACACACGATGCCGAGATTTACAAATGCCCACTCGAGTAACTTGAGAAGATGCTGACGCGGCGGTAATCAAATTCATTCGAATCCTGTTCGCGTAATGTCGAGCCAAGGCCCGAGAAAGCGTGCTTGGAACTTTGCAAAGCGCGCAGCATCGATTGCAAGATCTTCACGATGCCCCTCGGGATTTCGAAAGGAGATCTGCGACGACAGAGCGTAAATCAGTGAAACAATAACACGGAATCCGTCGATTGAGAGTAAAAATAACACAAGTTGCACCTTCGGCGCAAATTATATCCTAATTTTTTGTATCGAGCAATTCATATCGTTCGATGAAATCCCCATCGGTCTACATAGTTACCTGACGATTATACATCGAATTTCGAAACGCAAACAAGTTAGGAAACGACCTTGCTCAATGCTTCCTAGCGAAAGACGGAATCGCAATCAAGTTCACTTGATCTCTGATACTCTGCCGGACAAATCGTCCACGCGGAAACCGATGATCGATGCATGTCTACTCGACAGTTGATCCTGGAGGATCAAAAATCCCTTCCCTCCCCCTATAAGTCACGTCTAACGAAGCGATGATCGGTCTGTAGATTGGCGCGCTCGATGAATCGTCGCAGAATCGAGCATCGAGCAGCAGCCAGCACCATCCGAAGAAGAAGAAGAAGAAGAAGAAGAAGAAGCCGTAGAAGGAACTTAGTCGCAGTAGCGTCGTCTCGATTACGAGAGAGCCGTCCCGGGTGATGCGCGGAAGCAGCTCCGAACTCCTGCTGGAGGCGAGCTGCAGCCAGTGCCAGAGCGATTACGATCGGGGACATCAAGGTCGGGACAGCGGCGGCGAGCACGACTTCCACGAGCGGGAGCTACGTCGTCGCAAGCTGTTGGAGCTCGGGTTCGGCGCGTCGCGGCGCCGACCGCCACGGCGTACCTGCCGTCAGCGGTTTAATTTCTACGCGACATCGGCGCTGGCCTTCGTCGCCACCTCAGGCGGCGCGGCACTCCTCTTCCTGGTGCCGCTCTACGTCGACCCAGCCATCAGTACCCTAGCGGCAGACTTCTCGCCGGAGCCGGTGATCTGCACAACTTCGCGGCGCGAGGACCTTGCTGGTCTTTTCAATTGCACATGGAGCTCGTGCCGCGAGGGATGCACCAGTGATGTGTACAGTTGCACCCACATATACGTCACGTACACGCCGTGGAGTAACGCCAGTATGAAGAACGACACCGGCGGCAGGAACATCACCGCGAACATCACAGCTGATCTGAGCACCGTCACTGCCGGTAGGATCACTAAGTCGCAGTGTTCCTTAGCGTTTTTCCCTTTCCCATTTTTTTTTATATTTTTCATATAACTAATGTAATTACGAGAATGATAATTGGTGATAAAATAAATTGGACATTAAATCGGATTGGAAAAAAAGAGCTAAAGTAATAGAGAAAGAGATAGGAAGATTAAAGTACGAGGTAGAAAATCTGAAATACCATACTATGATTTTTGTTTCGAAACATAACATTGTTGAACGTGAGATAGTCTATACGATTTATGTCACCATTTTGAACGTAGAATTCGAGACATAACGGATGGAATCTATTGTATAAAATTCGAAAAGGGGTAATGGATATCGCTATTTCTTTCTCTATTGCTATTTGACTATAAAATAGAATGTATCGCCTGGGAAATCGAAGTGAAATTGGAATACATTTCGATTTGATAGATCAACGTTGTGGATTGCATGCACAATTGTACTTGGCAAGCACAAAAATTCAAATCTCTCCGACGCTAATCTTCGCTGTAAAATATCTCTTTGTCGAACAGTGTCCTCTCCGGGGGACGTCGAGGCGGTGCTGCTGGTGAACATCAAGGGTTGCGGATATCCGCCGGTAGTCGATTGCAAGAACTTCACCCGCGAGTTGGGTTACGAAGGCGCGAAGTTTCCTTGCCATTATAGCCGGGTGAACGGTAGCATAGTGATGGCGAACTATAATCGCGAGGCACAGGTCGCTACCATCATGCACTTCTTCGCGGCGCCTTTCGTAGTGACTCTCGCGACTAGCGTCGCGCTGTGTGTGATGCACTGTGACTGCAGGTGCACGCCACCACCGCGACATCCGCCGCGCGGCATGAGAAGATCCAGGGGCAACGATCTCAGGTAATTAGTTTCCACCAAAGCCAGAAAACACACACGTTCGTATACCTGGACAATTTTTTTTCGACGGACGTACGGATTGTCATTAGGTTAGCTAACCATATATCCATAATACACACGTTTATGCTGAATGAATTTAAAGTTTTGCCCTTGTTAGTTGAATGGAACGTATATAGAATAGAGTAGAGTAGAGTAGAGTTGTCACATGGAATAAAAGTGTTTTGTTATTGTAAATAATTGTTCAATCGCCCTAACAACGTCGAAAATCCACGCGCACTGATATTAATGGAGTTAACAATATGGAGTTAACAATATTCATAATAATGACAAGTCACACACAAAGCTGGTAAATTGGTGTTAATACAGCAATTATTATTGTAATATTACAGCTGCTGCATGAGTATAAAAAATCGATAACGAGTTAGAAGTGTGCCAGAAGTCATCCGATTTAGAAGGTGTATTTGACGAGGCAAATAAACTTTCTAAACTGTACATAAGACAAAGATGACTTAACAATGATGTTACTACCACCGTACTTACTGTCGTCGTGAAACGATGCTAAACTCTTTTGGCTGCAAATACTGCCTTAGAAGGTATCTCAAAGATCATTTTTCAAGAATTGATTGGTGTAATCTTATCAATCTTCGTGTTCCGTTGTGCATAAATAATTATTTATATGATCGTGTTATCAGGCAATATACAATCTTTTCTTCATTCTATTTATATATTTAAGAAAATGACAAATAATTTTTTTTTAATTCGCGTTACATAATATCAAAAATTTTACGAAAATGTTATCTTCACTGTCAAGATCGTTTTCATTAAAATTTGCAATATTCAAAATTAGACTCCAATTAATAAATTTAAACAGAAGAGTTTTTCTTTAGAAATCATTTTGTAAAAATTAATACTTGAGTCGTTGGAACGCGAAAGCAAAGTAGAGATTACGATCTTTGTATAATTAGGACAATTGTTTATCGAAAAAATTTTAAATCCGCTTTGACGCTTCTTCGCTTTCGCAGTATCATCGTTTAATTTAGATATTTATATTGACTTACGTTGCTGACATTTTCCGAGAAAGCTTGTTACTGCATGCAATTCATAGTACTTCACTGTAAAATGATATAAACCAACGTTTATTCTGACTCACTATAATTTACATGTAAAATGCTTTGCTGCAAATACTAGTGCTTTTGATACACGACGGAACACGGAGCGCTGCCTTAGGAATAGAAATACACATTTATCATATTATTACAGAAAAGAGCGAATTGCAGAAACGGAAATCGGATATCGATTCATCATCTCTCTCTCGTAATCTCCGCTAATTAGCTCCAAAAGGCATTCATCTCATTAAACGAGTGCGCTGCCAAAAGCCGTGACGGCGCTCTCCGTGCAACGCAATGAACATGTAAAAAGAGATCTCTAATTGTCGATCGGATGCCGTAAGTAATTCCGTGCACTCGGAGTAATCGACAGCTCTCTCTCTCTCTCTCTCTCTTTCTCTCTCTCTCTCTCTCACGAACATTGATATGTTGCGTGAACAAGCATTGAGCAGCGCGTAACTCGTGTAACTCGCGTAATCTGCCAATCTTCCGAATGTCTTTTCTCTTCTCCCCTTAATTTTTCTTCTTAATTAAGTCGTTGAGCGAAACGAATCATATATATATATATATATATATATATATATATATATATATTATGTAAGTTACATTTTTCTCATTAAAGTAAGAGGTTTTATAAAAGTGCCTCATGTAAAATCTTAATAATATATTATAGCAATTTTTCTAGAACAGGACTGCCTAAAGTACTTGAATAGAATATTTCAATAAAACAACTTGAAATAAAAATACTAAAAATTCAGAGTCACGTCAGAATTATCGACTGTCATACTGCCTAAAATATGACTTATAATTATTGACTTATCGAATCTGTCGATCACTATTTCGCTCAACTGCTGAATTTTCGCTGTCGCATGCCCCTTGCACAGATCAACGCTTAAGAGAAATAAAAGGGACCAGACTATTAAACCAAAAAAATCACATGTCGTCAAGAAGCTAATGTATTATAATAACAGCCCATACAAGGCAGCAAAAACAGAAAAAATTATATGTATTGTTATTTCTAAATGTATTCTCATCTCTCATGCGTACTTTGTACACACCGAAGAATCGTTGGAAATGGACTTATCGAGTTTTGCGCTACGACTCTACGAGGGTAAGATATTAAATCCACGTTCAAGTAACGGCAAATGTAAGAAGTTGATGTGCGATTGAAGCCAAAAATCGTTTCTACTGAAAGCATCGCGATTCAACAAGACGCGCGTCTCAAGGACTCATTCCTCTCCAAAAGCTACCTTGTTATCTTTCTACTTTCGACCGTTTGTCATTTCCACGACGATGGTATTAGAAGAGGAGGATCGGGGGTGGCAAGGATGACAGCTAGCAAATGGCAGCCTCGGCTGTCATACATTTGGAATAACCGACGACCCTGACCATGTTATATTTCTCTCTTTCTTCTCTCTCTCTCTCTCTCTCTCTCTCTCTCTCTCTCTCTCTCTCTCTCT